TGAAAACGAACATAGAAAAGAGTAAGGTGATGAGGGTATCAAATGATTTAGATAAAGAAAAATTGGATATCAAATTGGGGAGGAGGGGTATGGAAGAATGGAATGTTTTCAGATACTTGGGGGTTGACGTGTCGGCGATGGGTTTATGAAGGATGTGGTTAATCATAGAATTGATGAGGGGAAAAAAGGTGAGTGGTGTGTTGAGGTATATGTGGAGTCAAAAAATGTTATTTATGGAGGCAAAGAAGGGAATGTATGAGAGTATAGTAGTACCAACACTCTTATATGGGTGTGAAGCTTGGGTTCTGATTGCAGCAGCGAGGAGGCAGTTGGAGGCAGTGGAGATGTCCTGTCTAGGGGCAATGTGTGGTGTAAATATTATGCAGAAAATTCGGAGTGTGGAAATTAGAAGAAGGTGTGGAGTTAATAAAAGTATTAGTCAGAGGGCTGAAGAGGGGTTGTTGAGGTGGTTTGGTCATTTAGAGAGAATGGATCAAAGTAGAATGACATGGAGAGCATTTAAATCTGTAGGAGAAGGAAGGTGGGGTAGGGGTCGTCCTTGAAAAGGTTGGAAGGAAGGGGTAAGGGAGGTTTTGTGGACAAGGGGCTTGGACTTCCAGCAGGCGTGCATGAGCGTGTTCGATAGGAGTGAATGGAGATGAATGGTATTTGGGACCTAACGATCTGTTGGAGTGTGAGAAGGGTAATATCTAGTGAAGGGATTCAGTTTGGCAGTTTGGAGGGATATGTTGTGTATCTTTATACGTATATACTTCTAAACTGTTGTATTCTGAGCACCTCTGCAAAAACAGTGATAATGTGTGAGTGTGGTGAAAGTGTTGAATGATGATGAAAGTATTTTCTTTTTGGGGATTTTTTCTTTTTTTGGTCACCCTGCCTCAGTGGGAGACGGCCGACTTGTTGGAAAAAAAAAAAAAAAATTCAGGGAAACCGGTTATTTTTATATAGCCGGACTTGAGTCCTGGAAATGGGAAGTACAATGCCCGCACTCTAAAGGAGGGGTTTTGGGATATTAGCAGTTTGGAGGGATATGTTGTGTATCTTTATATGTATATGCTTCTAAACTGTTGTGTTCTTAGCACCTCCGCAAAAACAGTGATTATGTGTGAGTGAGGTGAAAGTGTTGAATGATGGTGAAAGTATTTTCTTTTTGGGGATTTTCTTTCTTTTTGGGTCACCCTGCCTCGGTGGGAGACAGCCGACTTGTTAAAAAAAAAAAAAAAAAAGTTTAGCCTTTCTAATCCCATTTTTTACTTCTCTTTTAAACTCAGCATATTGGTCAGTAAGGTTAACCTCTCCTCTTCTGATGCACCTATAAATTCCCCTTCTCTCCCCTAATAGATGCTTTAGCCTACTGTTAACCCATCTGGGATCGTTATTATTAGACCTAATTTCTCTCCGAGGAATGTATCTGCTCTGGGCACGGTGTACATTACAGTGGACCCCCGCATAACGATGGCATCGCATAGCGATTTTTCCGCATAACGATTACTTATATCGCCAAAATTTTGCCCGCATCCGATTAAAAACCGCATAACGATTTCGCCGAGGACGCGTCAATGTGCCTCCCAAAGTGCCGGCCGTATGTTTTACCAAGCCAGCCTCCGCGTAACATCCAAGCATACACTCGTTTTTGAATATTTCGTCAATTATTACAGTTTTCGTTGTGTTCTTGGAAAATAAGTGCGAGGGCCACTAAGAGCTTCTAGTGCAACCTGTGGTAAAAAGGAGTGAATTATTATGGAAATTAAGAAAGATTTGAAGGTTTGGGGCTAACCCTGAGAAGCTATGCAGTTTGGAACCATTTGCCTACTTCAAGATTAGAAATGTGTGCAGAGTGGTTTGAACTGCAAACCTTTAGATGAAAATCACCCTGACACAGCTGTTGCAAGCCGTGCTGGTGCTATTTCATGACAATGTTATGGCCATTTTAGGAAAGTCTTGAATAAACGGAGGTTACAGAGCTCTGCAGATTTGTTTGCGACAGAGGATCAGTGACTCTGAAGCTGGTCTATGGCATTAAAAGAGAATGAAGTAACCCCAGAAAAGGACTTGCTACCTCAAGTTCCAATGGAAGGGATCCCTTACTAAACAGTAGAAGTAATGCTCTCCCCTCCTCCCATCCCATCATCATCCCAGATCTTCAATAAAAGTAAGTGATCATGTATTTTTGCATGCATTTTCAGTTTTGTGTGTATTAAAATTAACATTTCAATGTGTAAAAAAATTTTTTTTCAATTTTGGCGTCTTTGACGGATTAATTATTCCATTATTTCTTATGGGAAAATTAATTCGCATAATGATTATTTCGCTAACGATAGCCCTCTTGCACGGATTTAAAATCTAACCGGGTCCACTGTATAAGAAAAAAATCATAAAGCAGATCCCTCATAATTAAAGTATTATCACGTCATAAATCAATAGCTAGATAAACCCCAATAAGATTGACAGGTGTTTCCCAAGCCAAATTTTAAAAGGCAACGGAAAAACACGGGGTTTTTTCGGGGTTTACATTATTCTTGCATTTCCAATTAATTGCCCCAAAAGTGATGAATTTGTGATCCTTGGGCGTCAAGCTCTTCAGTGATCTCCAGATTATTTACGATTGTTTTCTTATTTGACAAGACTAGGTCTAGCAAATTATTACCCCTGTTAGGCTCTGTTATGCACTGCTTCAGAAAACAGTCCTGAACTGTTTCCATAAAGTCACTGGACTCTAGATTACCGGTCAAAGAATTCCAGTCAATTTGACTAAAGTTAAAGTCCCCTACTATCACTATGTTATTGTGTTTAGAAGCCCTAACAATTTCGTCCCAAAGAAGTCTCCCTCTATCGTGATCCAAACCAGGAGGTCAGTATATTACACCTAGAATTAGTTTTTCTTGACCCTCTACAAACTCTACCCAAACAGATTCTGTTACTGTTCCATCTATTTTTATACCTGTTTTTATGCAACAATTAATATTTTCTCGAACATATAATGCAACTCCTCCCCCATTCCCATTACATCTATCCACATGGAGCAACTTAAACCCTTGAATATTACACTCAGCAATCATATCCCAACTCTTTAAATCATACCACGTTTCAGTTAATGCAATGATATCAAAGTTCCCAGCACATGCTACCAAACGTAATTCATTAATTTTATTTCTTGCACTTCGACTGTTAGCATAAAATACCATCACATGTTTTTTCTTCTGCACATTTTTCCTATTCATCTTTGTTTTTACACAATTTCTGAAATTATCATTACCCAGAGTTACTCCATGACAGTAACTATTAAGATTCTTAATATCAGAGCATAAGTCAATATATCCATACTCATTATTTATCATTTCTAAACCCATACCTCTAACTAATCCTAGTTTAAAGTCCTAACAGCCCCCTCAACTGAGCTAGCAAGAAAACCCACACCTGCCCTGGATATGTGAACCCCATCACTGGCATACATGTCATTTCGGCCATAGAAGTTGTCCCAGTTGTCAATGAATGGTACTGCATTATCCTTACAGTGTTTATCCAGCCAACAATTAATACCAATTGCTCTGGACAACCATTCATTACCAACACCTCTTCTTGGCAAAATGCCACATATAACAGGGTGCCCTCCTTCTTCCTAATTATGTCTATAGTTGTCCTGAACTTTCTAACTAAATCCTCACTTCTATGCTTGCCTACATCATTGCCTCCAGCACTGAGGCAAATAATAGGATTGATCCCATTACTGTTCATGATGTTGTCAAGCTGGCTAACAATGTCCTCCATCCCAGCCCCAGGAAAGCAAACCCTCTGTCTCCTACTCCTGTCCTTCAAGCAGAACGCCCTATCCATGTATCTAGCCTGGCTATCTCCAACAACAACAATATTCTTACCTTCCTTGGTGTCATTCGTCGTGACGTCCCCAGTAGTCGACTCACATTCATCGGATAGCACGGAGAATGCGTTAGATGTTTCCACAGCAGTCTCTTTCTTCTTCATCGTTTGTCTTTCCATTCTTCTTGATCGTCAACTTCGTTCCATGCTGTCCAGCCACTGACCACGTTCCCTTCTTGACCTGAGGACTCAAAACAGGAGGACTACTACGAATCCTCTTGTTTTCCTCAGTCAATCGCCGTATCTCCATCTTCGTTACTCTCGGCGGCTGGAGGCAGTGGAAATGTTGTGTATAAGGGCAATGTGTGGTTTAAATATTATGCAGAGAATTCGTAGCTTGGAAATTAGGAAGAGGTGTGGAGTTACTATAAGTATTAGTCAGAGGGCTGAAGAGGGGTTGAGGTGGTTTGGTCATTTAGAGAGAATGGAACAAAATAGAATGACTTGTATAAATCTGTAGGGGAAGGAAGGTGGGGTAGGAGTCATCCTCAAAAAGGTTGGAGGGGGGTAAAGGAGGTTTTGTGGGTGAGGGGCTTGGACTTCCAGCAAGCCTGCATATGTTAGATAATAGTGAATGGAGACGAATGGTTTTAGGGAGCTGACGAGCTGTTGGAGTATGAGGAGGTTAATATTTTGTGAAGGGATTCAGGGAAACCGGTTAGCCGGACTTGAGCCCTGAAAATGGGAAGTACAATGCCTGCACTTGAAAGGAGGGATATTAGCAGTTTGGGATATTGGCAGTTTGGAGGGACGTCTAAGCTGTCATATCTGAGCACCTCAGCAAAGACAGTGATTATGTATGAGTGATGGTGAAAGTGTTGAATGATTAAATTTTTTTTTTCTTTTTAGGCTTTTCTTTCTTTTTGGGTCGCCCTGCCTTGGTGGGAAATAGTTGACGGTTTAAAAAAGTAAATAAAATCTACTTAAATAAATATGAAACATGACAATTCTTTCCTATACAGAAGAGTTAGAAACAACCTTCAAAACACTAGAGTGAATAAATACCCCAATGGAATATATGCTAGTTAATTTGCCTAAGACATACACATACAATGGCTCCTGAATGATTATACAAAATATAGCAATACAAAAATACCACTTACCAGTATCCCTGATACAAGGCTCACTTCAAATATTGTGGGAACAACATTGAACACAAGTGCTGACATCACAAAGTTAATTCCTCGACTGCCTCTGTCAATAGCCTTGGACAGTGCCCCAGTCTGCCTACTCAGATGAAAATTCAGATCAAGGCTATGAAGATGCAGAAAAACATTCCTTGCAATTTTGCGGATGGAATTCTGTGCAACTTTAGCAAACACTGCATTGCGAAGTTCACTGAATGCAGCAGCTCCTGTACGGGCAATTCCATCTGTTGATGCACTATGTAGTCAATCAGCCAGTTTTACTTTAGAAACAAGGCTCTAAATATTTACATATAAAATAATACAAAATTATGAGTTAATAGTGTAGAAAGTCTTCATGTGTACAAGAAATCTCAGTGAAATTAACAAATTATTTGATTCATTAGCCTCAAAAATATCAGAGGAAAATAAGGGTTAATTATCATACAAGTTATTATATTTACACTTTTCAACATTTAAAATGAAAGATGCTCACACAATGGTGAAGAAATACTGTATCTCATTTGGAACTCAGTGAAATTACAAAAATATAAAACTGAATTATGTACTTTTTTTAAAATTCAGAATGTTTCAAATAAGAACAAAGCTCCTAATCTTTAGAAAAATGCTCTAAATTAAGAAATTTCAAACTAGAAAAATCATATTCAGACAATTTTATTTATGACAAAGTGAACAGAGGCAATATGTATAAGAAGACTTGCCCATATTCTCCCAGACATGTATGGGCAAGTCTCATCACACCTGTTACCCCTATTCACCTAGCAATTGGTAGGTAACTGGGTGTTAGCTAGATGTCGTGAATCTCAGCTTAGGGAAGAGGATGGTTAATAATGAAGAAAACAGTACGCTTAGATCAGCTTTCTGTTTTCTTAGTGTTTAACTCTAAGTTTTATTAGTTATCTTGGGGTATTAAACTTTTGGGGTTTAAAATCCACACATTTTCCAGAAGACAATGACAACTTGACTTATGCTTTATGGCAAGAGTGAGGGACTTGCTAAGTGCTGACAGTAAAGGACAGCTTAACCAACTTGTAGGTGAGGGAGAAATTGAGAGGTTTGGTGTGTGCAGAGTTAATGACAGAACAGTACTTGATTTTTTTTTTATATCATCAATTTTTTCATAACTTTTTGTTGCTTACAGTTACATGAAGGAGGGTAGAATGCTCATATTTATTTTGAAAAAAAAAAATAAATAAGTAATGTTTGATAATATACATGGTACAGGTCCTCCATCACAAATCCGGCATCATTGGGGCCTGTAGTGTGCCAGATTACTGAGTTTGCCGGATTACGGAGCAGTTAGGTCAGAATACACTTAATAAAATTAACCAACTTGACTTACACAAAGATCATTGAACATCGGCAAAAATCGAACATTTCCGCTATTTGAGCTCTATTTCTGTAATATATCTTCCATTCTATCAAATGAGTCCAAAAAAATGAGAATACAACCATAAAAACCATACGAAAATATACTGCAAAGAGGCGGCTAATGGCTGAGAAGTGAACTCCCTTATTTAGCGTCCATCTTTTTTATTTTTGTTGTACGTTAAGAAGCATCTTTCCATCAAACATTGCCCAAGTTTCAATGAGATAGCCCAACAAACAACCGAGAAAAAAAAATATTTACCAAAAATCATACATGGCAAGCCCAAGCCAGGTACTGGAAGTAAGTCACTCTGTCTGACTTTTCTGGGTTATCCTAGGTTCTCTATACATACACTGCTATGTATGATAATCTATGTAACTGTATATGTGTATACCTGAATAAACTTATTTACTTCTAGTCTGTCAACTGAGTACAAGAAACTGCCCATTCACTTATTTCAACTACCCAATAAAGTGGTCAGAAATTGGCAATTTGGCCGATTTCACACAAATTTCAACAGATGCCAATTTCAAAATAGCATCCAGAATAAACAATGTAGACATTCCAGGCACTAAAATAACATTTTCTCTGTTCATTAGTCATGGCTACAGGCCCCTCTTATATTACTCTTGCTTACCATTTGGAATTTTTATTCACAAAAAAATAGAAGATTTACTGTTATGCAGACTACTGCATTATTGTAATAATTGTATAAATAATGTTAACCCATTCTTCACTCCGTATTGGAATTTGGACTGGCAGGCGGACAGGTATTAGACGGTGACGTCATTTGTTTACTCTTGAGCTTCGCTAAAGAATAGAACATTTTCACTACTGTGAGTGCAATTTCAAGGTACTTTTGATCATGAAGGCAATCAAAATCATATCTATTTCTGTAATATATCTTTCATTCTATCAAATGAAACGGAAAAAATCAGAATATAACCATAACAAACATACAAAAATATACCGCTAAGCGGCCGCTAATGGCTGAGAAGTGAACTCGGCTATTTATGGTCTGATTTCTTTCATTTTTGGTGTACGTTAAGAAGTACCTTTCCATCATACATTGCCCAAGTTTGAATAAGATAACCCAACAAACAACTGAGAAAATAATATAATAATAATAATAATAATAATAATACTACAATAATAATAATAATATTAATAATAATAATTTTATTTACTACACGTTCATGTACATGGGATATAGACATAGCTGACATCAGTGACATACTACTATATAGAAAGCCGCTCGTTATGTAGAGTATTTCAAACAAATTAGGTCAGTCCCCCAGGATAACACCCAGGTACCCATTTACTGATAGGTAAACAGACAACAGGTGTAAAGAAACACGCCTAATGTTTCTACCCTGGCTGGGAATTGAATATTTACCAAAAATCATATATGGCTAACCCAAGCCAGGTACTAAAAATAAGCCACGTTGGCTTTTTTGGGTTATCCTAGGTTCTCTACACATATGCTGCTGTGTGTGATAATCTATACAGAGAAAATAGCGTTTTTGTTTCAGGTTTATGGTGCAGTACGAGCGTATATCACAGTTAGCCCTGTGCTATATTCCGTTTTCTCTAATATAAGCCCCCAAGACAGGGATAAGAGAATGGTACAGTGGAACCTCAAAAATCGAATTGCTCCCAACACAACCAATTATGTAAGTGTATTTTTGTAAGTGCTTTTATAAGTGTATTTTTGAGGGGTCTGAAATGGACTAACCTAATTTACATTATTCCTCATGGGAATAAATTCATTCGGTAAAGGCACTCGAACAGCCTTCTGGACCAAAGAAAGTTCGATATTGGAGGTTCCACTGTATTTGTATGCCATATCCTCTTCATACATCCGTCGAACTGCTCAATATTATGCCAAATATTATTTATTCTGCAGTATTTAACATGTTTTATGTTATTTATAATGTTTATTATGTCATATTAGATCAATTGTGATAGGCAAATAAGCTGTAGTGTTGATATTAGCGTAATAATAAAGCATATTCTCCTGCTTCATGAGACTGAGCTCATGGCAACCGACAGTGGCTTCAAACCACCTTATCTTTAATGGATAATGCACTGTGTAGGTGCTTTACATAATGAGAAGTATTTCTTTTATTCATTGAAACCATGGCTAGGGCTAAAAGTAAGCAGGTTAAAACAATAAATGGAGAAAAAGAAATTGGAATGACTTATGCAGCAAGTAGCACCATCAAACAGTACCAGCAGGTTGGTGTGGCGACCCTGGAAATTTGAAATTATGCTTGCCAAAATTAGTGCCGAATAACTGAAGGAACCGAATAACTGATTGCTGGATTTGTGATGGCGGACCTGCACATCCATTCTTACCTCAGTGATGAACACTAACACAGCCATTACTTATTTTTACCATATCTGCCATTTCCCACCAAGCTAGAGAAGGAAGCACTCACTATCTTTCATTCAATTGTTGTCTTGCCAGAAATGCATGTATATTACAATTCAAGATTTCATTTGGCTAGCCCAGAGGGTTAGTAACTCTGGTTAACCCAATGCAATCACTATGACTGCCTTATTTCCACTGGGTCCTTTGATCTTCTTCCTAAATATGTGACCTACAACAGTTGCCTAACACCTGGGTATCTACTTTCTGTTAGGTAAATAGAAGCAATGGGTATAAGAAAACATCCAGTGCTTCCACTAGTGCCTGAATCAAAACCAGGTCCTTCAGATGCAAGCTGAAAGCACACACCTATCTTTTAGAGTGTAGGTACTGCACTCACTTCCAGATTTGATCATTTTAGGTGATATCCCACTGTCCTTGCAAACATTTAAAAAGTAGATTGATACACAAAGAATGAGGATTATTAGAGATTTTAAAAATTATTTCTTTCCTACTAGAGAACAAAGTGCAATAGAGAACTGGTTAATGTGATACAAATCCAGTTAAGAAAATATGAGAGAGTAATTAAGAGGAAGACACTCACATCCAATCATAAGAGATATGGCAGTTGTAGCCACTGCAGATGGTGAATCCGTAATGGCTAGTACTTCACCTGTGTGCTCGTTCAAGTAATTTATAGCATCCTTAAATATGAAAGGTACCTGCACATTAACCACCTTGGCTGCAACCAAAAGTCCAACTGCAATCATCACACGGGCTTTAACTGCTGGGTTTTCCTGCAAAAAAATGAAATTTGAAATATACCTAATGCATTTGTTATTAAAACTAGAGGAAAATATAATGATGAAATATTTAGATGGCAGTGACATGTAAAAAGAATGACCATAATTATTGACACGAATCTGGAGGCCCAAACGTTGCAAGTAATTTCAATCACCTAGAGAAGTACATGTACAACACCAATTTTCCAGGACCCTTGGTTCATAGGCCTTGCCAGAAAATCCATTTTGTTGTATCAACAGAGGTTTCATTATAATAATAATAATAATAATAATAATATTATTATTATTATTATTATTATTATTATATAAGGTAGTAGGTTGGTAGACAGCAACCACCCAGGGAAGTACTACCGTCCTGCCAGATGACTGTGAAACAGAAACCTGTAACTGTTTGGCATGATAGTAGGATTCCTGGTGTCTTTTTCTGTCTCATAAACACGCTAGATAACAGGGATATCTTGCTACTCCTACTTACACTTTGGTCAAACTTCACAGACACGCACATGCATATATATACATGTATACATACATCTAGGTTTTTTCTCCATTTTCTAAATAGCTCTTGTTCTTCTTTATTTCTTCTATTGTCCATGGGGAAGTGGAAAAGAATCTTTCCTCCGTAAGCCATGCGTGTCGTATGAGGCGACTAAAATGCCGGGAGCAATGGGCTAGTAACCCCTTCTCCTGTAGACATTTACTAAAAAAGAGAAGAAAAACTTTATAAAACTGCGATGCTTGAATGTGCGTGGATGTAGTGCGGATGACAGGAAACAGACGATTGCTGATGTTATAAATGAAAAGAAGTTCGATGTCCTGGCCCTAAGCGAAAAAGCTGAAGGGGGTAGGGGAGTTTCGGTGGGAGGAAATAAATGGGATTAAATCTGAAGTATCTGAGAGAGTTAGAGCCAAGGAAGGGGTAGCAGTAATGTTGAAGGATCAGTTATGGAAGGAGAAAAGAGAATATGAATGTGTAAATTCAAGGATTATGTGGATTAAAGTAAAGGTTGGATGCGAAAAGTGGGTCATAATAAGCGTGTATGCACCTGGAGAAGAGAGGAATGTAGAGGAGAGAGAGAGAGAATGATTTTGGGAGATGTTAAGTGAATGTATAGGAACCTTTGAGCCAAGTGAGAGAGTAATTGTGGTAGGGGACCTGAATGCTAAAGTAGGAGAAACTTTTAGAGAGGGTGTGGTAGGTAAGTTTGGGGTGCCAGGTGTAAATAATAATGGGAGCCCTTTGATTGAACTTTGTATAGAAAGGGGTTTAGTTATAGGTAATACATATTTTAAGAAAAAGAGGATAAATAAGTATACAAGATATGATGTAGGGCAAAATGACAGTAGTTTGTTGGATTATGTATTGGTAGATAAAAGACTGTTGAATAGACTTCAGGACGTACATGTTTATAGAGGGGCCACAGATATATCAGATCACTTTCTAGTTGTAGCTACACTGAGAGTAAAAGGTAGATGAGATACAAGGAGAATAGAAGCATCAGGGAAGAGAGAGGTGAAGGTTTATAAACTAAAAGAGCAGGCAGTTAGGATAAGATATAAACAGCTATTGGAGGATATATGGGCTAATGAGAGCGTAGGCAATGGGGTCGAAGAGGTATGGGGTAAGTTTAAAAATGTAGTGTTAGAGTGTTCAGCAGAAGTTTGTGGTTACAAGAAAGTGGGTGCGGGAGGGAAGAGGAGCGATTGGTGGAATGATGATGTAAAGAGAGTAGTAAGGGAGAAAAAGTTAGCATATGAGAAGTTTTTACAAAGTAGAAGTGATGCAAGGAGGGAAGAGTATATGGAGAAAAAGAGAGAGGTTAAGAGAGTGGTGAAGCAATGTAAAAAGAGAGCAAATGAGAGAGTGGGTGAGATGTTATCAACAAATTTTGTTGAAAATAAGAAAAAGTTTTGGAGTGAGATTAACAAGTTAAGGAAGCCTAGAGAACAAATGGATTTGTCAGTTAAAAATAGGAGAGGAGAGTTATTAAATGGAGAGTTAGAGGTATTGGGAAGATGGAAGGAATATTCTGAGGAATTGTTAAATGTTGATGAAGATAGGGAAGCTGTGATTTCGTGTATAGGGTAAGGAGGAATAACATCTTGTACGAGTGAGGAAGAGCCAGTTGTGAGTGTGGGGGAAGTTCGTGAGGCAGTAGGTAAAATGAAAGGGGGTAAGGCAGCCGGATTGAGGATAAAGACAGAAATGTTAAAAGCAGGTGGGGATATAGTTTTGGAGTGGTTGGTGCAATTATTTAATAAATGTATGGAAGAGGGTAAGGTACCTAGGGATTGGCAGAGAGCATGCTTAGTTCCTTTGTATAAGGCAAAGGGGACAAAAGAGAGTGCAAAAATTATAGGGGGATAAGTCTGTTGAGTATACCTGGTAAAGTGTATGGTAGAGTTATTATTGAAAGAATTAAGAGTAAGACAGAGAGTAGGATAGCAGATGAACAAGGAGGCTTTAGGAAAGGAAGGGGGTGTGTGGACCAGGTGTTTAGTTAAACATATAACTGAACAGTATTTAGATAAATCTAAAGAGGTTTTTGTGGCATTTATGGATTTGGAAAAGGTGTATGACAGGGTGGATGTTGCAGGTGTATGGTGTAGGAGGTAGGTTACTGAAAGCAGTGAAGAGTTTTTACGGGATAGTGAGGCTCAAGTTAGAGTATGTAGGAAAGAGGGAGATTATTTCCCAGTAAAAGGACATCACACAAGGATGTGTGATGTCACCGTGGCTGTTTAATATATTTATAGATGGGGTTGTAAGAGAAGTAAATGCGAGGGACTTGGCAAGAGGCATGGAGTTAAAAGATAAAGAATCACACATAAAGTGGGAGTTGTCACAGTTGCTCTTTGCTGATGACACTGTGCTCTTGGGAGATTCTGAAGAGAAGTTGCAGAGACTGGTGGATGAATTTGGTAGGGTATGCAAAAGAAGAAAATTAAAAGTGAATACAAGAAAGAGTAAGGTTATGAGTATAACAAAAAGATTAGGTGATGAAAGATTGGATATCAGATTGGAGGGAGAGAGTATGGAGGAGGTGAATGTATTCAGATATTTGGGAGTGGACGTGTCAGCGGATGGGTCTATGAAAGATGAGGTGAATCATAGAATTGATGAGGGGAAAAGGGTGAGCGGTGCACTTAGGAGTCTGTGGAGACAAAGAACTTTGTCGCTGGAGGCAAAGAGGGGAATGTATGAGAGTATAGTTTTACCAATGCTCTTATATGGGTGTGAAGCATGGGTGATGAATGTTGCAGCGAGGAGAAGGCTGGAGGCAGTGGAGATGTCATGTCTGAGGGCAATGTGTGGTGTGAATGTAATGCAGAGAATTCGTAGTTTGGAGTTAGGAGGAGGTGCGGGATTACCAAAACTGTTGTCCAGAGGGCTGAGGAAGGGTTGTTGAGGTGGTTCGGACATGTAGAGAGAATGGAGCGAAACAGAATAACTTGAAGAGTGTATCAGTCTGTAGTGGAAGGAAGGCGGGGTAGGGGTGCCCTAGAAAAGGTTGGAGGGAGGGGGTAAAGGAGGTTTTGTGTGTGAGGGGCTTGGACTTCCAGCAGGCATGCGTGAGCGTGTTTGATAGGAGTGAATGGAGACAAATGGTTTTTATTACTTGACGTGCTGTTGGAGTGTGAGCACAGTAACATTTATGAAGGGGTTCAGGGAAACCGGCAGGCCGGACTTGAGTCCTGGAGATGGGAAGTACAGTGCCTGCACTCTGACGGAGGGGTGTTAATGTTGCAGTTTAAAAACTGTAGTGTAAAGCACCCTTCTGGCAAGACAGTGATGGAGTGAATGATGGTGAAAGTTTCTCTTTTTCGGGCCACCCTGCCTTGGTGGGAATTGGCCAGTGTGTTAAAAAAAAAAAAAAATAATAATAATAATAACTCAACAATACACTCTACCCCCCCCCCTTCCCTGGACTGATTGAAATTTAAATTAAGCATTTGTATAATGAAAAAGTTAATTAACTACTATGTATTTACAAAGAATATTGTAAAGTGGTAAATTTTAGATTTTTACTGGAACTGTAGAGGTAATCACATAGACTGGAAGTTAAGAGTTGTCAGGAATAATCTGAATACTCTATCAGGAATACTCTGGAACTGTGATGTTACAGGGACGACATATTGGATACCTGAAGCCACAAGATTTTCAGATGAAGGCCAACTGCCGTGATACATTCCTCTTGGCAATCTTTTTCGATATTTCATTAAAGCAAAGATGTTTAAAGTGCTTTGATCTTTCCTGTGTAATTTTTCATACAACAAATAAAAATTCATTAGCATTCAATAACCTTACCACCCTTTATATACAAAAAAAGCTTCGCAAGTGCTGTCACCAATCATTGCAACACTCTTTAACAAATCCATCGAATCCTCTACCTTCCTCACAGTTCTCAAAATAGTGAGGGTCACCCCGATACATAGAGGAGGAGCTCAAACAGACTCGAATAACTATAGGCCAATATCCAACTTACACCCTCTCTCTAAAATCTTTGAAAAATTAATTCATAAGTGAATCTATTCCTTCCTCATCTCCCACAACATACTCAACCCCTGTCAGTTTGGGTTCAGGCCTAATAAAAATATGAATGATGCTATTATACACATGCTAGAACAAATATACACTGCACTCGAGAAAAAAGAAGTCCCACTGGGGATCTTCATTGATTTACGAAAGCTCTTTATACAGTTGACAATGATTTGCTGCACATAAAATTATCGCACTATGGTATAAGAGGGCACTCCCTCAATTACCTAAAGTCATACCTTAGCAACATAAGCTAATATGTGTACACAAATGGAGCAAACTCTTCCACACATCCAATTACAGTTGGTGTCCCACAGGGAAGTGTCCTTGGCCCTCTTCTTTTTCTCACTTACAAAAATGACCTACCAAATGCATGGCAACTACTCTAACCCACACTATTTGCAGATGACACTGCATACATCTCTCACCCAAGCTCAGTCATGCTAGCCAATACTGT